TTAAAATCAGCTACCTGTCACAATACAATAAAACAGCGACACAATTTCCTACAACAGCCAGCAGTTCCTCCTTTACATGAACAAGAATTTTTTTTTTAAATTTTTATTTGTCCTTTTTGAACAATGAAATGTCCTTCGATTTCATTCGATCAGGACGCTATAGAACTTATCCTTAAATAGAAAGCCAAAACTTGTACATTGGATTTCAAGTAAAATTCCGTGCATTACCAAATGATCAGCTTTTTAAAATGCTCTCTGCTTCAGTAATACAGCGAGAATTCACGCCTCCTTGAACAAAATCAAACATTTCGGAAGAGCTAAGTAACTCCATTTTTGAATGTACGAAGTCAGATCACAAATCAAAATACCGAGTTTTATCCGCCATACTAATGTGTGAAGCGCCATCTATAGGTGAATTGAATCGCGGATAGCGTGTTCGCTGTCCAGGCAGCTTCGGCGAGTTCCCCCAGCGATCCGAACAATTCTTCTGGCCCCTCGAAGAGCTTAAGGCTTTAAGGAGTGAAATTTCTGCCCTAAGTAAACAGGTCGAGCGACTTTCCTGCGAAAAAACGAGGAATAAATTCCCTCGGGATCCACATAACCAAAGAATATGTATTGTTAAGAAGGAAAGCTTCGCAGCAGCAAGAGTGGCTCCCTCCGAACGAAAAGGGACAGAACTGCGGATGCGTGAAATATCTGTCGCCAAAAAGCGCCAAAGCTCAAAGCTGATGTCGAAGTTCGAACAGGTTCGACGGTCACGTTTACCAAGAGTTTAAAGCTGTGTGACTCCATTTTGTTTCCTTACATATTGACAGACATAAAATCAGACATCAAACTGCGATACGGATAATACAAGTTCAACTAATAAAGCAAAAAAGCACGAAAATTTGAGTTTAAAATATCGCGAAAAGTCAAAGAACGATTCATCTTAACCCGTCTTTCTCAATTTCCTGTACACGTGTTCGCCCAGGTACATCACAAAGGGGGAAATTCTCACCAACAGGTTCCGTCGCCAAATTCCTTGGCGAATTGTCCCTCTTCTTTCTAGCGGCGTAGAAGAAAAACTGGTTTACATTACGTCTATGGAGCCTTTCCTTCTTTACGTAGACTTTCTTTGACATAACAGACCATGTAGTTTTTCACGTGGGCATTCTCGAGAGCACGTTAGCAATTTTTGTTATTTTCATTCGCGATTTGGTAGTAATGCACGAAAATGTCAAGCACCTTGTTCTTTTTCTCAGAATACTACGGCTCAGGAAAACTAGAAGTAGCGGCTGTCGACCGAAACTCGTCGGCAGTCGCGCATTCATTTCGTTTACATGTTTACGATAACAGATTAAATTTAAAATTTTTTATTGATTCGGGTTCGGATGTTCATGTGTTCCAACGACTTCTAAGTTTAAGAAAATGTATCCTGATTCGTTACAATTATTTGCCGCGAATAATTCCAGAATTTCTACGTATGGAGCAAAATTGTTAAATGTGAATTTAGGACTTAGACGAAACTTTTCTTGGAAGTTTTTAATCGCCGATGTACCAGTGCCTATAATAGGAGCCGACTTTTTAAGGCATTTTGATCTTTTAATCGATTTAAAACGAGGTAGGCTTATCGATAATACTACGAAATTAACTCGTATTGGTTTCTCTTTCCGATTCTAAAAATTATTTTTCGGTAAAGTTAATATATCGGGTGATTCACCATATCACAGAATCTTGAAAGACTTTCCGGAAGTACTGAAGTTAAAATCGATTTGGGTAGAGTAAAGCATAGTACGGTTCATTACATCGAAACAAACGGTCCTCCCTGTGCACAGTAAACCGCGTAGGTTAAGCCCTAAGTTATACGAAGCAGTAAAAAAAAAAGAATTTCAATTTATGATAGATCAAGGTATTTGTAGACCATCAAAATCAGCATGGTCATCACCTCTTCATGTAGTTTCTAAAAGTTCGGGCGACATACGGCCAGTAGGAGACTACCGAAAACTAAACGCGTGCACCGAACCCGACAGATACCCTATCCCGCATTTACAAGACTTTAATAATACGCTTAGCGGAAAGACAATTTTTTCAAAAATTGATATCGTTCGGGCATATCATCATATACCAGTTCCATCCAGATCATATACCGAAAACTGCAGTTTGCACCCCATTTGGAATTTCCGTTTTTAAATTTCGGACTGTGCGGAGCAGCTCAAACCTTTCAAAGGTTTATGAACGAAATTCTTGGAGATCTAAAATTCGCCTACGTCTACTTAGATGATATTTTGATATTTAGTGATACGGAAGATGAGCATAAATCTCACCTACGTACTGTTTTTGAAAGATTAACTTCATATGGATTGACAATTAAACGCTTCGAAATGTGTTTTTCGGCGTTCCGGAAATATCTTTTTAGGCCATTATAATCAATAAAGATGGTACCAAGCCTCTGACGAACAAAGTGGAACCGATACTTAACTACCCACTTCCTAAAAACGGTAAAAGATTTGCAGAGATTTTTTAGGATTTTTAAATTTTTACCGTCGATTTTTACCCAACGTAGCCCAGAATCAAATACATTTAACTTCGTATTTAAAAGGGGCTAAGAAAAATGATAAGACAAATCCTGAATTTGTCTGAGGAAGCGCGGAGTGAATTTCAAAAATGTACAAACAGCTAATCGCTAATGCTGTTCTTTTGGCACACCCGAAGAAAGATGCCCAGTTGGTTTTATAGGTTGATGCGTCAGACTTCGCGATCGGTGGAACTCTATCACAAATAGTTGATAGAAATTTAAAGCCTCTCGCATTTTTCTCACGAAAGCTTTCGCAGGCGGAAAGGAACTATAGTGCGTATGATCGAGAGCTATTGGAAGCTTATGCTGCTATTAGGCATTTTAAGCATATGTTGGAAGCACGGAACTTTTCTTTAATCACCGATCACAAAAAACCGCTCACGTATGCATTCCGACAGCGTTTGGATAAGTGTTCACCTCGTCAGGCTAGGCAGTTAGACTTTATCTCACAATTCACCACTGAAATTCGCCATATAAAAGGTTCGGAGAATATCGCTGCCGGACGTACTTTCGCGTATAGAAGCAATAAGCATGCCTAAAACCTATCGACTATGAGGAAATCGCTAAAATGCAAGAAATCGACCAGAATTACAACACTTAAAGACTTCAAAAGTTCTACATCTCAAAAAAGTTACCTTACCGAATTGTAGTTTACCGATATATTGCGATGTGTCAACAGGTAACGCCCGTCCTTACATTTCCTCCGGCATTCCGTGAGAAAGTTTTTGCCACCTTGCACAATTTGTCTCACCCCGGCATTCGCGCATCAACAAAGTTAGTATGTTCACGGTTTGTTTGGTCTTCCATCCGCAAAGATTGCGCGAAATGGGCACGGCAGTGCATTCCGTGCCAGAAAGCAAAAGTAAGCAGACATACTAGAACCCCGTTAATGAAGTTTTCCAGACCAATCACAGAGGTTTGATCACGTCCACCTTGACCTTGTTGGTCCCTACCTCCTTCTCAAAATAATTATTACTGTCTAACTATGATAGATAGATTTACTAGATGGCCCGAAGCAGTACCCATACCAGACATAACAGCACGCACAGTAGCACAGGCTTTCTATGACCACTGGATTACTCGATTTGGTTGTCCGACTGTTATTACTACCGACCAAGGGCGACAGTTTGAAAGCGGCTTATTTCGAGCCCTTTCCCAATTATTGGGAATCAAGAGGATCAGGACGTCTCCGTACCACCCACAGGCGAATGGACTGATCGAGGAATTCCACCGTCCTTTGAAAGCTGCCTTAAAAGCGCACGATACCAGTGACTGGGTGGCTGCCCTTCCAACGCTGCTGATGGGTTTCCGCGCCGCTCTCAAAGAGGACATAGGAGCAACCACTTCTGAACTGGTGTATGGAAAGACTATCCGTCTCCCAGGAGAATTTTTCAATCCGACACCTCCGGATGCGTCCCCCAAACAGTTTGTGGAGGATTTAAAATCTCACTTTGCCAGTGTCCGCCCGACCACGACTTCTAGCCACGGTCAGCGAACATGTTTCATTCATCCACGCCTTCACAAGTCCACATATGTGTTTGTTTCGACACGACGGAGTTAGAAAACCACTTCAAACTCCTTATGATGGACCATTTAATGTGCTAGAAAGACGAGATAAAACGTTTGATCTCGAAATGAAAGTTAATGACTAGGGCTATCTGCCAAAGGGAGGGATGGAGGACTTCTAAGGGCAACTGGCTCGTATACACGTTACACATGGGGAAACCACGAAAACACCCATGCAGCCAGCCCGTTCGCGGGATTCGAACCTCGGACCGAACTACCAGTGTTCAGCGACTTTACCGCTCGGCCGCTGGTGGGCCTCCGAAATGAAAGGGACTAAGCAAACAATCTCCATAGATAGATTGAAACCCGCTTTTGAAACCATGGACTCTTCACAAGTTGTTCCAAAGACTGTAAAAAAAAACCTTCGGACATTGGTATCACTCGTTCTGGACGATTAATCTGACCCCCCCCCCCCACGGTCGATATGTCACATTTCGTTGACACTGCGGAGGGAGTATGTAGCGGCAGCGCCAAACAGGCGATACAGACTCAAAAACTCTGGAGAAAAGCGCCAATTGGCGAAATAGTAAACCTGCTTGACAACCCTATGGGCTGACGGGAAGAGAAGAATATTCCCCGGCAGTTCTGGGTAACGACTTCAGCGTGTGTGTGTGCGTCTGTGAAACAACTCGTTTTGATCCTTCTACGTGATATGTAATTTCGATCTGTTGTTGGGGCGGTACGCTTCCTTAATCCATTATTATGTATCTATATTACTTCTCCTTATTAAATCTCATTCTTAATGTTAAGTGCCTATCTCAATTAAGATTGCTATTTCTCTAAGTAAGGTTATCTATACTTTTGTTGGCACGCGTTACTCGCGCGTACCTCAGGTCCATGACTGCAATAGTAGAGACGCCATTTACATGTATTCTAGCCTTCTTGTAAATAACAGATAAGCGCGCCTTCAGGAAAATGACGACAAGCGCAGTAATCTGCGCAGATGTTCAGGGAGGAACCGGGAGGAAACTAGCATGTGAGGGGCTAGACGGTTGTATGCGCGAAAGAAGAATATCTGTTTTTCTTTGGACTTTCATAGATTTTCTATTGCGCAGCGTTTCCAATGCAAGAAATCATGAGACCTGCGGAAGTAAATGTATTTCTTTTCTTGAATATATGTGCGTAATTATATTACATTATTATTATAGTTATTACGTTATTTATTTTTTTCTAGTCTTCAGTTATTGTTTTGCGTAACATGGTGGATGTGGAAGGTATAGATGATGAATTAGAAGTAGATTTAAGAAGTGAATGTGAAAAATTCGGAATAGTGAATCAAATTACTGTGTATCAAGAACGACAATCCGAAGATGATGATGCTGAAATAATTGTAAAAATATTTGTTAAATTCAGGTTGCCATCTGGTACGTTATACTTTGTTATTTATGAAAATTGTTAATAATATATTGCTGCTATTACTGTATGCAGAAAAAAATATAGGAGAAAAAAGAGCAGACTTCTGTTTTTGAAGTATATTTGATAAATATAGTTTTTGCCAGATCTGCAAAGCAGTATTTGAAGTGTGCAAGTTCTTCAAAGGTGAATCATAAAGTTGATTAAAAGAAAAGTAATAAATAGAATTTGGGCATTTTTTTATTATTCATAAAAGATTAAAACTTAAACAAGCTTTGGTAAAAGTATAGTTTAGGTTACCATTTGGCGATTTTTGGCGGTACATGGACACCAATTTTGTACAATTCTTAGACTCATTATTTTGGCTTGCGAAGTGGCGATTTTGTCCCCAAAATCGACGCTACACAAAACCAAAATAACAAGACAAACAATTGCACAAACTCGGTATCCATGTACACATCGACTTATTTTCACTTAAAAATAAATGCTCGAATTGCAAAAAAATGGCATTGCGCACTCCTTTGACTTTAGCCATGTACACGTCGATCTAGTATTTTCACTTAAAAAAAATCCCCGAATTGCACAAAAATGGCATCGTGCACTCTTTTAACTTTATCCACGTACACGTCGACCTATTTTCACTTTAAAAAAAAATTCTCAGAATTGCACAAATTTGCATTGCACACTTCCTTTACTTTGTGTATACACAACGATATATTTTCACTTAAAAAGTCAAAGGAGCACCAAATTCTACTATATAGGCAAACAAAAAATACATAATCTCAATAAAATACATTTTAAACCAAACAATAAAATAACATAAAAAAGGAAAAACATGTTATACATTTAAGCACTACCAAAAGCAAATATTCACTTACCATGATTTTTGAGTTCTCTTCGTACACCCAGAGCCACGTAAAAATCAAAATATCAATCATACTCAAAAGACTTTTTTCAAACCACGTACTCTTTCTGATCTAACTCTTCACATAGTGACCATCTGAACCTTTCTTCCTACAAACCCATTCAAATCCATCTAAACGGTTTTTACGTTCGATTAGACGTATATCCTTCCTACATACAGGATACTTATAATGGCTACTAAGTAAACCTTCATTTACACACCAGTCAATTAAAGCTCTTTTCCCCTTTCGCTCCAAATCGTACAGAAACTTCAAATTAATCTTATTACATTCGGCCATTCTACCATCTAAAGAATCAAACCAATACACACCATAAAAAGGCTTACAAAACATCCCATGATTCAAAATTTCCCAGAAGCATGCACCCAATTACGTCACAATAGGGTTTTCATAACATTCAACTACTCGGGCTACCATAAATGAAACAACAACTTGGCGATAAATCAAACAACATCTTCGCCATAATACAAGGGGTACCTTAAAGTCTACTCTAGCCCAAGCCTTTAAAGTATTAAGAATAGAATTAGTGTTAAGAAACTGATTTTATGTTTAATATTAAAAGATTTAGAATCTTTCACAATCATTCCCACTGATTCATCACGACTGATATAAGTGTCTTTCAGCACTTGCATTGGCAAGGTGTCCATCGGGCTTAAATATCAGTAAAACTGGTTGGATTAACTGTGTAAAATGATTTCTCTACCTTAATTGTTTTTTAAATCTCTCATATACTGAAATCGCAGTTCAACAATATATCTACATTGATCATAATATCATAAAATCATGAAACAGAGTATCATATAGTTAAATGCACCGTTTTCTTTTATCTTTCAGAGTGTCTTCGAATTATAACTCAAGTTATAGGAAGATAACAGTCACTGTATGTGAGACTGCAGATAGTACATTTAGTTGTGTTGTATGATAAAAGTCATTGTTTAGCTACTTTTCAGCCCCAAAAAATGGAAGAGGAAAATTCTTTAAAATCTGGAGAGTGTAACTTCTCTCGGTGAGTAGAGTAGACTTTAAAGGTACCCCTTGTATTATGGCGACGTTGTTGTTTGATTTATTGCCAAGTTGTTTCATTTATGGTAGCCTGAGTAGTTGAATGTTATGGAAACCCTATTGTGACGTAATCGGTTTGCGTGATTGCCGTAAATTTTTGAATCGTCGGGAAAAAGGTTTTTCAGTGCTTGTGGTGTGTGTTGGTTAGGAAGTACATTACTTGTTATGTGGTTTAGATGGTAAAATAGCTGAATGATGTAAGATTAATTTGAAGTTTCGGGACGATTTGGAACCCGAAAGGAGGAAAAGTGCATTAATTCGACTGGTGTGTAAATGAAGGTTTACTTAGTAGTCATTATAAGTGTCCTGTATGTAGGAAGGTTATGCGTCTAGTCGAATGTAAAAACCGTTTAGATGGATTTGAATGGGTTTGTAGGAAGAAAGGTTCAGATGGTCACTATGTGAAGCGTTCGATCAGAAAGAGTACGTGGTTTGAAAAAAGTCATTTGAGTATGATTGATATTTTGATTTTTACGTGGCTCTGGGTGTAGGAAGCAAACTCTGAAATCATGGTAAGTGAATACTTGCTTAACAAGTGTACAACATGTTTTTCCTTGTTTATGTTATTTTATTGTTTGGTTTAAAATGTATTTTATTGAGATTATGTATTTTGGGTAGGGTAGACTTTAAGGTACCCTTGTATTATGGCGAAGTTGTTGTTTGATTTATTGCCAAGTTGTTGTTTCATTTATGCTAGCCTGAGTAGTTGAATGTTATGAAAACCCTATTGTGATGTAATCGGCTGCATGATTCTGGGAAATTTTGAGTCATGGGATGTTTTGTAAGTGTTTTTGTGGTGTGTATTGGCTTGATTCTTTAGACGGTAGAATGGCCGAATGTAGTAAGATTAATTTGAAGTTTCTGTACGATTTGGAGCGAAAGGAGAAAAGAGCTTTAATTCGCTGGTGTGTAAATGAAGGTTTACTTAGTAGCCATTATAAGTGTCCTGTATGTAGGAAGGATATGCGTCTAGTCGAACGTAAAAACCGTTTAGATGGATTTGAATGGGTTTGTAGGAAGAAAGGTAAGGAAGAAAGGTAAGATGGTCACTATGTGAAGAGTTCGATCAGAAAGAGTACGTGGTTTGAAAAAAGTCTTTTGAGTATGATTGATATTTTGATTTTTACGTGGCTCTGGGTATGCGAAGCGAACTCGAAAATCATGGTATTAAGTGAAATATTTGCTTTGGTAGTGCTTAAATGTGTAACATGTTTTCCTTTTTATGTTTTATTGTTTGGTTTTTTAAAAGTCTTTTATTTGTATTGTATTGTGCCTATTTTTGAGAATTTTGTTTTAAATGTCGATGTTTGTTTTTTTGACTTTTTTAAGTGAAATATATCGATTCTTTTAAGTGAAAATAAGTCGATGTGTACATGGATACCAAATTTGTGCAATTGTTTGTCTTGTTATTTTGGCTTTGTTTAGCGGTGCAAAAATCGGCGCTTCGCAAGCCAAAATAACGAGTCAAAGAATTCAAAATCGGTATCCATGTACTGCCAAAAATCGTCAAGTTTTGCCAAGGGGTACCCTAAACTATATTTTTACCGAAATTACTATTCCAGTTTTTCCATTTCATAGTAAATGCTAATTAATATAAAAAATTTGCTATGCATCAATTTTTTTCCTGTAGCGTCTGTTACTTCTTTCATATTAAAAAAAAGCTGTAACTCGTGTTATATGTTTACATATGTATATGGAGGGAGTCTGGAGTCTGTCATTTTCCCTACCGACTCCACAGCTCTGTTCAAAAGTGCGACTATATACAGCATTGTTCTAACTGATGTATTTTGACGACAAACAAAAAAAAAAAAAAAACTTATTTCTTCTGAAATTACATATAGATTTCTTTTCCATATTTTGATTTTGCAACTCAAATTATGCCAGAATATTAAATTTTTATAAATTTTGTGAGGAACTTAATGTGAGATTTAAAAATTTATCTTGATGCACTATATTCAGTTTGTGCCAAGAGTAATTAATTCACATGGTGAAATTCTCAGTTTATACTAACCTAGTTTCCTTTCTCTTCTTTCATTGTGCATGAGTGGGGAAAAAAGATACGTCATTCATTCTTTCTAATAATTTTGTTATATGCTAAATTTCAAAATGTGTCAATATATAAAATCATATACAGTCAAAAGTCGTTAATTCGGACACCCATAATCCGGAATGATCTATAATCCGGACCTCAAAGCTGCAAACTTTCTGTGCATGCATCGTATTGACGCATGCGCGTAAGACCTTTACTGCTGCGAATATTTACTAATATGTAAAGGATCTACAAAGGGAAAGTATGTTTCGAAGTCCATTAAACAAAAAGTGGAATTGCTGCAAAAAGTGGATAAAGGCATATCCTTTGTTTATCTAAACTGTAATGTTTGTGCATCTAAAATTTGTTTTTCTTCAAAGCTGCGGCGGCGCGTAATGAATTGGAAGTTGATCTGTCAGCACTATCCTTATTTTCAGGGCAGATATTTTTATTTTATTTGGCTTATAATTCCTTACTAAATGTAGTATTTCATCTCGATGTACTCCGTCTTTGATATGATTAAAATCAAATTCCTCGTCATTATAATTCGCTTCCGATAGCGAAGAAAGTGACAGAGGTTATTGAAAACGAAAAGATTTCGGTGGACAAATTAGTCGGTATTCTCGACACAGCAATTATAGGACTTGAACAGCGGAACTTTGTAACTGAACAAGAAATTATGTTTGTTTATAGAATTAAAGAGAATGTATTATCACATAAAAAACGAAGCAACGTAAACAACTTACATTGAGAGAGATGCTTAATAAAGTAAACAAATAAATATTAAGCTTTTTTTTTGTATAAATTTTGATACACTTTAGATCATAATTGTTCTTTATTTCATAAATTACGGTTTCATAATTTTTTAATTCTATAATTTCTGCTTATGCCATTCTTACTAGATTTAAACTGTTGATCTAATAATCCGGAAAAATCGATAATCCGGAATCGCCGAAGTCCCGACGAGTCCGGGTATTAACAACTTTTGACTGTATATCTTTGGAAAATTTAATAATATAAAACTTTCATTTTTTAAGTTTTTTTTGCAGGTATGCCTAGAAATAGATCTAGTTTAAGGTGATGGAAAAATTTTGGTATTTTTTTGTTATAGTCCCTCCCCCCCGCCCCCGATTGAATTGGGAATTAACTCAGTTATCTCGCTAAAATCTGGTTACATCTTATACCTTGCCACATTAATCGTATGTTAGCACTGTGTTGCATTTGTGTTCTCACCGTATGTTCGTATGTTATTCATTTTTAGGAGGTTTTTGGAATTTGCAAATCTGACAGCAATCATTAATTTACCAATTGCTATGGATATAACAGTTTGGGAATTGCTCAAGGACAGAATTTTTTCAAAGAAAAGGCATTGATAGAAAATTTTGCTTAAAGAACCACAAGCTGAAGTAGTGTTTTATTGATAACAGCGAAATAGCGCTGCAGAAAAGAATCCTGTAATGAGAGAAAGGATTAAGAACTTAAAATGTGTTTTCTGTTTAAATTTCAATTATGATTAGCCATTTTACTTTTATAGATTGTAACCAAAAGGGGGAAAAAAAAACTCATGTTTGAAATTAGCCTTTCATGTAAATAAAATAATATTCTTTTAGTTATTTACTTTTTTCTTCCTTCCATTAAGGTTACCTTAATTACTTTTTGCAATATTTACCTCAACTATAAGTTCACGTAACTATAAGACGTGCCTTTGCCGGGACATGAACCCTGAACCTCTCATTACGTGCCGATTACAATAGATTAGATGCTGGACAATTAGATGCTGTAAGGAGTGAGAAAATACCTTATTTATATGTATAATGACTTTGAATGCACAGTTGAAGTCTTAAATCTTAACAGCTTTCGATAACAGTCATCTTGAGCAGACAGTAATGGTTGAAGGTAAAAAAGGAAATCCGATACATATCTATGATTCAATCGTAATGAAGTATGATAAATTTCTGTGTACATTGGCTTTTAGTTTAGAAGAAGTTTGGTAATGGTTAAGGGCGTAAATTTGGACTCTAGTCCCATATCTGTGCAAGATCTGCAGAAGATTTTCTTAAATTCAAAGAGACTGGTTCATTTGATATGAGATCTGCAAAGGGAGGAAAGCTTTTGTTTGTAAAAAGAGATGAGAAGTGGTGTGGGAATGTGTGTTGCAAGGAGAATTGCAGAATCTTTAAACATGCCTACCAATACAATCTATAAAATTTTATGAAGCATCCTGCAAGGCTGTCCATTCAAAATTACACATATTTAAGAGTTGCCTCCTGTTGACCTGCGAATATGACAAACTTCGGCTCTACAATTTCTTGCTCGGACAGAAGCAGACCATGAATGGCCATAGAACACTTTGTGGGTAGACAAAGCCCATTTCTGTCTTCAAAGTACTGTCAATAGTAAAAATTCTAGAACATTGCAAACAGTGGACCAGACACGCATTCTGGAACTTCTTCATAAACACTGTTCTTGTAAAAAAAGCTTTATGAGCAGAGCCCAGTTGTTTATTGACAAACTTATTACAAGCCTCTCATATATTAGAATAATGGTAAGTTCATGTATTTTATTAAGTTTTATTATGTGGTGTGCAGTTCATGTCTTCTAATTAGCTGCTACCATTATATCAAGAAGGCATGTTGAAAGGAGGGAGAAAATACCTAATAACTCAAGTATAAATGTAGGTAGCTGCCATAGCTTAAGGTATGGAGACTAATTTCTTCATCATCTGATCTAACAATGTTAAACCATCTAGGAATTTTGACATCAGACAGCAGCTCCAGTTCTTTTATCTATTTCATAGACTTCTTTTCTAAATGTTCAGGCAGATTTTGATTTGATTCCAATTTAATCGTAATTTCCAACATGCTTTCAGTATCAAATTTGGGAATAGGGTAACGGGAAAAATGAAGCCTATGGGTCAGTAAATTTATGTGCACAAAAAAGGAGGGAAAAATGTTTTAATTATCTTTTTCTTTCACCAGACAGATTCCCATTACTTCATGCATATTCAGGTCATTCTGACCAGTGGTTCCTTTTTTTACAACCTTTTGAAAATGGGTATATGTTTACTTACAAATTTAGGTATAATTTATAAAATTTTCAGTTCTAGAATTGTAGATCTTTTTACTTTGAATCCAGCAAAAGTTTAAATTGCAAAAATAACCCGCGTAGAACATAAGACGGTCATATGTGCTCCTTATAAGCCTTAACAAAAAATGTTGTTGCCTAGTTGGTGATGTTTAATGATTTCTCGCCAGTGTGATGACTTTTTAGAGGATTCAAGAAAATACATTTTGGAGTCCTGTGACTGGTTTTTCCTGAAGTTTCCAGAAGTCCATGTGCTCTAAAGCAGCTATCACTTTTAGGGACGCGCGAAGCGAGGCAGGACAATTCCGAGAAACAAAATTGTAGTAGCACTGGTTTAAATGGGAGGTTTCCGAGGAATGTTTCGTCTAGCTAGGCGCAACATGCCCCGGCTATGAGCAACATTTTGAAACCTTCCCGAAAATGTTCCGTCTGGAGCCGTGTTCTACGTACAGATCAGCCAATCAGATGAAAGTTTTGCTTCTGAAGGATCACGGGTAATTTTCAACATGGCGAGGGCTCTCATTGTGAAATCATGGAGGATGGAAATAGAAGATGATTTAATTGAAGAAATTCGGAAAAAGCCGTATATATATTTCTGTTTTGTTGTAGTATAACTAGTCATTTTTAAATGTTTATATATTTATTAAATTTATAATCGTGGAAATTTCAGAATAGACAATATTTTATGGTGTGCTATTTCCGATGATTTGTTTACAAATTATTTGTCGTCAAAAGTTTGCTAAATTTGTTGTATTTCATACTGCTCATGCGAAAAGAATGTTATTGTTTAGTAATAGAATGTTTTTTTTAAGGGGAATAATTTTTTAAATATGTTTGTATATGCACGACTTTATTTTTTTTTCTGCTAATTACTTTTATTACTTTTAAATTGAAATTACATAATCAGCGATTGTGTATATTTATTAAAACATAGATTATGTAATAATGAGGATACATATTAAATTCGTATCCTATTATCTTCATGTTATTAATGAAATACTTTTTAGATTAAAGCATGTTAAGAACTATATTTTTCTTGTAAATCTAGTTCTTAATGTGCTTATAATGTATTTTCCTGGAAATTTATTGATTTATTATTATGAATGATGAAAAACATTTGTATATACATTCATTAACATAAAACTTATTCATTACATTAATACTAATATACTTCAACAACTTCTAAACCATTACATCTCTGTGTATGTAAATATATGACTTATTAGATGTGTGTGTATATATACGTATGAATACAAAAATGAACATTGCCAAAAAATTTATTTGAAGTTACTTCTAATTCATATAACACTTATGTAATTGGCAACAACTGTAGTCATCAGTTCTTTGCACATTATAATGAATATGGAACACACAGTTGAAAATAATTGCAGTGCATTTTGTGCATTAGGCTATCATTAAAATTCACCCACTGACATACAACATTTGCATTTGTAACTATACTTGGGAATTTAAACAAAAAAAAAAAAAAAATTGAGCAAGTAGCCTTTATGAAATATTTACTATTTTGGGGATGAAATAAAAATTTTTGACTCATGACAAAACAAATATCAGTAAATGGCATTATATCATCTACATGAAAGTTATTAAATAAATATATGGATACAGAAATAAATATTTACAATAATAAAATGAAATACATACAACAGATAATTACAAAGAATTGAACTTCTCTTTGCATGTTTTTTCTCTTTAGCTTTTAGAATCACCAAAGTCGAGATAAAAGTGATTAACGTAATAGCCATCACCTTTCTATTATCTTCCATAATTAGCAATAAAGTTTAAAACGAAAAGAGTGTGAATGATACAAAATACAACATGAAAAAGCAACCATCACTTGAAAGGAAACATTACTTTTGCCAATCGGAGCTATAACTGATTCTTGTTTGGCTTTCAGCCTGTTTACTAAGTGAAGATGGTAACCGGATTTCACGGATGTGCATTTCCGAGAATTGTTCCTTCTAACGTTATTTTCCGGCAACAAATCGTGTATGATAGCAGCATTAGAGATAAGACAAGTCAAGTGTTAATCAGCCGGGAGAGTAGTGGTTAAAAAATAATTAGCTGAATTATTTTTTAAGGTTTACTTTGTGAGAGATTTTGAGAGCCTAAAGTATTTTTTGGTGGACTAAGAAGGAATTGCTTAATATCTATGTTCTGCTTGAGGTGTTTATAACTATTTTTGTTGTTGCGACTCGTTCATTTTAATAATAAAGTGTTAAATTCTTCTGGATTATCGGGTAATTAATTGGTTAAATTCTTCTGATTATTATTATGCTTCTGGATTATCCAGATAAGCAGAGTATTCTATTTATCTGGATTATTGAAAGAAACAAACCCCATAACCTGCATCAATATTGGCATCTTTTATTTTGCAGTATTTATTTATAGGTAATTTTGTTTTAGTGAATTGAAAGTTTGTTATCAAACTAATCATGGAAGAAAAGTATTTCTTATTTTTACAGAGGCCTGTAGAGCACGAGATGCTTTGAATGGACGTATGTATGCTGAACGAATAATACAAGCTGAGCTGTATGATCAGATGTTGTATGAAGCCAATGATTTATCTGGTTGATAAAGAGTTCTGATTTTGGTTAATTTTAATCTGATAAAGATTATCTAAAGTTTAAGGAAGAATGAAAGAAAAAAAAAAATTGATGGCTGAAACATCTTGCAAACTTGAAAAACAATCACATTTTAAATTATTTATGTCAAATCTAGGTTTGCTAGTTCTTTGCAGAAATTATTTTTTGTACCTATTGAAGCTCTTTTTTGTTAGCTGCTTGCTATTCTCAAAATAAGCTGAAAATATGGTGTGTATAAAGCTGTGTCTTAAAGAATAGTACTCTTCTACCTTTTAATTTCTCTTCTTCATATAGTTTTAATTTTGATAGTATTAAAAACTAAAATTTTATTAATTTGTATGATCATGCTTGATTGTGTTACTTTTTAAACCTTATTCTTTTTAATGCATTAATTTTTAGTTTCATTCTGTGTATGTCAGGCATATCTGCATTATTAGTTTTCAGTTTGTGTCTTTTAATTCACTAAGGTTACTTATTACTGGCACTGATAGAGATGTTACTTATTGGGTGCAAGTTAGTGGGTTTTCATACTCTCCCCCCCTTTTTTTTTTTTTTTTTAGAAAAATTTCCAAATTATTGATATTTATAGTATGTCAATAAACAACATAAACAACACATGAAAAGAAAACATACTTTATTAATTTAAAATATAAATTTTAATTATTAAGTAAGAATTATGTGATACATTAAAAAATAAAACACATTATTCAAATCTTTTTGTATTTTTTTTTTTTGTTTTTTTTTGTTTTTTGTGCTATTTTTTTCTGAAGTACACAGTGATTGATCTGTTTTGGCTTAAAAGAAACATCAGAGGATTTGGAAAATTTGCCTTCACGCAAACCTTGGCAACAACAGCTATCTACAAAATGTATTTGCTTATTATTTCCTTTAGAAACTTTTCAATAAAAATCTATATTCATGCAAAAACTTTACTGCAGTTTCTTCTGTTGCTGGCCAATTTCACAAGTTCATATTTTAAACCTAAGTAAAGGCAAAAAATATCATGATTTGTTTAAAAACCTGCTGGACTTGGAATACAACAAAAAAGAATGCATACAAAAATGGCAGAATTGCTTGACTGAAGGATTATATATGAGCGTGGTTGCCTGAAGAAAGTTCATGCACAATGTTTGCTACAGTTTGGCACATTCTGAAAATTTGGCAAGCTCTACCAAGGTAGATAAGTACAGTTTATTTTATATAAAATGAATTTTGGAAGTTCAAAACTATATCTGCTGAAAGAATTATATGATACATTATTGACATACATGTAATTTTGAATTCCATTTCAATTGCTGTTTGTTTTGCAACAATTAACTGTATAATCCATGTTTTTTCAAATTTGCTTAAATATGTGTAATTTTGTTTTTATATAAAAGAATTTATGGAAAAGAAATATGTGTAATTTTTTCATTAATATTTTTATGTGTCATTACTCATACGTCTGATTAAAAAGACATTGTCTGCTGTGATACTTACATAAATTAAATGTACTATGTAAATAATATATTCCTATATAATATGTTTACAATGACTTTCCACCATTTAGATTATTTATGTTACTTGGGCTTCAAATAAATGTTTTATAATTTGTTTACATTTTTTTTTTTTTTTTTTAAGTTATACATTTGCTCTTTTATCAGGATGCATTTATAAAACTTTAAAATATGTGTCGATCTTCTAATTATGCACTGTAAATAAATAAATGATCCTGTTGAAACTATTTTATATCTATTACATTAAAAAAAAATTCAGTTTTAAAAATACAATACCTGGTAGTTCCTGAGTCATTTACACGTGTCCTGTAGAGCTTAATAGGAGGATTTCAGCTCATTATAAGAGGATTTCAGCATTCATTCATTTCATTTATTGTTGATTTATTTGATTAATTATTTACATGTTAAGTATTTTCTACTTCCTAAACATTCATTTTCATGAAAGGCCTAAATTAATTTTGGATACAAATATTGATCTTTCTGGTATTAACATTAGATGTGAAAATGTTTCCCTTAAGAAGTCTTTTATTCCATGCTGGTAATCGTTTCTCAATACTGAATACTGGTGTAGTAAAACAAATTTATATATCTATTTATATCCCTGTAAATTAAATAAATTTTATATTTGTGTGATGATTTTAGAAAAGGTGAAATGAGAAATATTTCTACAAACAACTGAAAGCAAATTAAATATAAAGCTTTAAATTCATAGAATTCTGTTATGAAAAAATGCAGATTTTTATGTATTTGTACAAATTTGTGTTAAAATATTATAAATAATTAAATGAAATTTTAAGCATAGAAGATCATGCCTTTAAAAGATCTAAGGATACAGTCCAAGTATCTTTTAAAGTATCTAAGTATCTATAACATCTAAGTAAATTTTCTGATCACAGGTCTTAGAATAATATCCATTGATTGCTCTTTGAAACGTGGTGATTCTCATAAGCAAAAAAGCGTTCTAAGAAAAAAGAAGGAAACCAAAAGGTTTGGATGCCTTTTAAATCACTCAAATGAACTAAAAGTTTTCCAGATGAATGAATATGCTATTAAAAATTAACAATTATTTATTCGGTTAAATGTAGCTTAATTTTAGCATTTGCTAACAAGATCGCCAAGTAAATATAGCACTACCTTCTATCAAGATTATAATTAACAAACAGCATTGCCATTCCACAATAGGGGAAAGTAAAATACAAAGATAAATTGAAAATCACTGGTGAAGTAGTAGTTTTTAAATATGGATATCAGTTTTTTACAGTGTGTAACCAAAATCATAAACCTATGAATTGGTAATAAATATGGTTTTTTGGCACATCTAGTTTCACACATATCTGAAAGTATCCAGAGGTGAGGTTTGTAAAAATTTAAAAAAAAAAGGTGAATCAGAGGCCGTTGATAATTAAGTAATGGCTTTATTAAATGATGAAATTAATCACGCACATGTAACAGCACATTTCTTCATATCACACAATAACAAAAGTGCAATGACTGTTGCCATTACAACCTAAGCAAAATATAAACAGTTACGGTTAATGTACACATAACATCAAATCATAAACCAGGGAGGAAGTGCGATTATTCTCAACACCCTCCCTTAATCACATATTATTTTACATTCATCTCTTAAATAATATAATCTTGGTTTAGGCAAGCATTTTGCAAACAAATCAGCTAACTGATTTTCACTAGAAACATATATAAGATTTATATCATACAATTTTACAATATTCCTAATATACATTAATTTAATATCCAACTGTTTTAGTCTAGCACAATTACTTTCATTTAATATTGCTTTAATTACAGACTGATTATCCTCATAAACTGAAACTTTAATATTGTCGACTCCTAAAATTTCTTTAGATACATTATAAAATACAGTTAGGTTCTGAATAGCTTTTGCTAAAGCCAAAATTTCTGTCTCAGTAGAGGACAGAGCAATAGATGTTTGCTTTTTAACAGACCAAGTTACAGGTCATTAAAGATAATAATATACCCAGAAATAGATTTTCTGTCATTTGTATCTGACCCCCAATCAGCATCAATATAAACATTTAACATAATATCAACACTATTAGATTTACAAAATAATAATTTGAGTTCAGATGTCCCTTTTAAATATCGAAGAGATTGCTTCAGACCAGCACAAGCACTGTTAGTGGGTTGCTGTTGTATCTGACTCAGACAGTTCACAGAATATCAGGACAAATTGTCATAGATAGGTTCACCTACAAGTTCACGATAAGGGTCATGAAATCTTTCGCCATTCACAAAATTTGATGAAGTTGACTTAGGCACTAGGGGATATCAGATGCTGTACAATCTAACAATTTTTCAACATGAGCCTTTTGGCTAAAGTAAGTTTGTTTTGTGAATACAGTCAAAAGTCTTTAATCCGGACTCGTCGAGACTTCTGCGATTCCGGATTATAGATCATCAGTTTAAATCTAGTAAGATGGCATGCAGAAATTATAAAATTAAAAATATGAAACCGTAATTTATGAAATAAAGAGCAATTATGATCTAAAGGGTATCAAAATTTACAAAAAAAAAAGAAGCTTAATATTTATTTGTTTACTTTATTTACCAACATTTCTTTCAACGCGCACATGCGTAAAGCATACATTACACATAGTCGAAATTAGAAAATTGCAACCAGAAAACTATTTGATGTGTATTGTTCGTGATATTTATAATGACGAGGAATTTGATTTAAATCATATCAAAGACAGAGTACATCAAGATGAAATACTACATTTAGTAAGGAATTATAGGAAACATAAGCCGAATAAAATAAAAACATCTACCCTGAAGATAAGGATAGTGCTGACAGATCAACTTCCAGTTCAGTGCGCGCCGCGACGTTCCCCTTCCCCGAGCAGAGCAGCGTGAAATTGATAAACATATTTCGAAATGGTTAGAGAAACAGAGGAGCCTTTATCCATTTTTTGAAGCAATTCCACTTTTTGTTTGATGGACATCGAAACACGCCTTTCGCTTTGTAGATCCTTCGGCAGCTCCAGAATGGAAATTCTTTTGACATAATCGAAAGTTCAAGCTTACTTTTATAAAATTGCTCTAACAGTCTGCAAAAAATAATAAGCCAGATCCAAATCGAAGATTAAGGAACAACGTAATTTGCAACATTTACTGAAATAGATAATGATAATCAGATAATTTTAGCTTAGCTTATACCGTCCGTTATACATTAAACACGTAAACGTATTACGCGCATGCGCAGAAAGTTTGTAGCTTTGAGGTCCGTATTAACGACTTTTGACTATTCAAAACTTATTCCTAGAAATTGATTTGCAACTTCAAGCCTTGGACATCTCAAATTCATTTCTAAGTATTTCAATCACAATTCTTACCTCTGAATCATTAGAACCAGCAATTAGCAAGTCATCCATATACAGCACAATAAATATTTCACTCTGTTTAGTTCTTACAAAAGTACATGCTTCGCAGATTAGTGTTGAAGACTTGTTGAAAGATTACAGACTTGTTGAAAGTTTAACTTAATTATAAAATCAGTAAATCTCTTGAAACACTGCCTCAGTGCTTGCTTAAGTCTTATAAAGACTCTTAAGAAGCTTGTACACACAACCACTGTTGTCACTGTAGCCCATTGGTTGTTCCATGTACATTGTTTCTTATAGATCACCATTCAGAAATGCAGTCTTTACATCTAATGCATAGATTTCAAGGTTCTTTTGAATAATGATAGCCAGCACAAGTCGAAGTGATGATGTACTATTTACAGGAGCATAAGTCTCAAAGTAATCAATGTCTGTCTTCTGTTCAAAGCCACGAGCAACCAGTATAGCTTTGTAAACATAATTATCTATTTCAGTTAATGTTGCAGATTGCGTTGTTCCTTAATGTTCTAATTGGATCCGGCTTATTATTTTTTGCAGCCTGTTAGAGCAATTTTATAAAAGTAAGCTTGAACTTTCGATTATGTCAAAAAGAATTTCCAATTCTGGAGCTGCCGAAGGATCTACAAAGCGAAGGCGTGTTTTGATGTCCATCAAACAAAAAGTGGAATTGCTGCAAAAAATGGATAAAGGCATATCCTTTGTTTCTC